CAATTCTCCTGCCTCCGCTTCCCAAGTGCTGGGACTGCAGTTGTGTGCCACCACACCAGACTACATTTTTCTTGGGCTACATTTTCCTTTTCTTTTAATGTTCAAATGTTTATTGCTGTCAAGGCAGTAGTTAAGATTGGGTAAATCTATTATTTGAACTCTAGTTTCAAAAGCTAGTATAAAAGTACTTCAATGATTGGATTAAATTATACTGATGATTATTTCCCTCCCCTAACACAAGATAATTTCACAAAATTATTCTTCTTTCATTCTAATAACACTGAATCTTCAAAGTGCTAAAATAACCTTCTTTAAGTAGTGACAAGAGTGCTAATATTTTTGATAGTTAATTCAATTCAAATTTGCTGAATGCTACTAAACTGAATACCATTTATTTCAGATACTCTCAGCTCAGCATTGGGACAATGCCCTATTAAAAAATAGAAATTTGGGCAGGCAATTTAGCTCAGTGGTTCTGGCGACTTCCCCACAAGCGCAGGGACCTGTCTTTGATCCCCAGTACCAAAAAAAAAAAAAGAAAGAAAAAAGAAAGAAAGAAAGAAAGAAAGAAAGAAAGAAAGAAAGAAAGAAAGAAACTTGTTATTTTCTCAAAATTTCCTATTTCAGAAGCTCTACTACTTGTATTTCCAATGTGCCTGAATCAACATTCTTTGAGATTCTAGATAAAACCACATACTGAAACTTTTTGGAATATGTTGAACCACATTGAATAGGAAACAATACAAACACAAGGTAGTTTGCTGATTTATCTATTAATCTCTATTGAGGTAGGACTACTTATGTACTACTTTAATTCATTTATTCTTTTTTTTTTTGTAACAGGGATTGAACTCAGGATCTTGTGCTTGCAAGGCAGGCAGAGGCACCACTGAGCTAAATCCCCAGCCCACTTTTATTTCTAATGCTGAAAATATAGATGAGTTAGGTGAAGACCCTTCTCTCAAAGACCTTACACTGTAACGAAAGGTAAAAAACACATGGAGAGATCCTTAGCTATGGTGGTTAAAGAAGCACAGAACATTAGTCTTAAAGGAAGTTAACAGCAGCAGCCTATTAAAGAATGAGTCAGAATTACCTATAAGAGGGTCGTGGGGCTATTCCAGGCAATGTGGTAGTATGAACAAGGACATACAGACAGGAAGTAAGATAAAGGTTTCTGGAAACCACACACAGTTTGCAGATACTGATTCACACAGATCATAAGCAGAGGATAAACCTGGAGAAGGCAGGCAAAGAGCTATGGAGCTTAGATTTTATCCACAGAAGACAGAGAAACAATGATGGTTTTAAAGAAGGGGAATTACATGGAAATATTTGCATTTTAAGAGAAGTACTGTAATGGTTAAATGAAGGATGGATTTGGAGAAGTAAAACTAGAGGCAGGGAGAGTAGTTAGCAGGTTGGAGCAGTATTCGAAGATGATGTTTCTCAGTGTTTATTGAGTACATATCACATGAGGATCTGGTTAAAATGCATATTCTGATTAATACAGTGGAGCCTGAGATTATTTTTTCTAACAGGCTCCCAGGTCACTCCAATGATGTTGATGTCCAACAATCTGAGTAGCAAAACTCTAGGAAAGACGTTAAGGATCAAAGCAAGTGTGTGAAAAGCATATTTGGAGATATGGGGGCAGTAATATTTAGGATGTAAAAGGCATGGTTTGGTGCCTCATTAAAGAGAAATTAGAGAAGATGGTTACTGGGGACTGGGGAATGTTACAATTTATATCTAGATGCCCCCTTCAAAGTCTCATGATCTCATAAGTGGGGATTTGGGGAACTGACTGAATCTTGGGTGCATGATACTCATCAATTGATTAATCATCTCCTGATGAGTTTATAGCTAAACATGATATTGGGAGGTAAGACCTGGTCAGAGGAGGTGGATCACTGGGAGGGGGGAACAGAAGGGTTTATCTCTCTACTTACTCCTTTGATCTTTCTCTCTGCTTCTTTTTTGCCATGTCATGAACAACCCTCCTCTGCTATGCTGCCCTGCCTTGGAGCCAACCGACTATCGACTGAAACTTCTATAAACTGTGAGCCAAAATAAACCTTTCCTCCTGTAAGTTGTGAGCTTCAGGTATTGTGTCTCAGAGGTAAGAAAGATGGGGAATTCACAGTTCACTACAAGTTTCAACTTTGGATAAGTGAACTTGAAATGGCTTTGAGATATCCAGGTGAGTCATTAGCTGCCATTTAGATATGTGAGTCAAAAGTCTGACAGAAAGATCATAAGCTTAGAGATGAGAGATGACAAAAAGAAGACTGAGTTACATTTCTAAAGTCAAGAGAAGAATCATGAAACCATGTAAATTAAGGTAACAAACAAAAAGGAGCCCATATAGAAAACATAAATAGCCAAGAACACAGGAGAATAAAGTTTCACGACGTTGGAGATAATGTCCATTACCACATGAAGCAGGAAGGTCCAGTAAGGACATAATTTAAAAATAGCAGTGAACTGAGGAAGCGAAGTGGGTGGAAAAGAGAATATAAAATACACTAGTAGTGATAAGTGTGGGGGGAAAATGGAATAAAAACATGGTTAGAAGAGCAAATGGAACACTCCAGCCAGGATCAGTCTTAATATTGTACCTAATTTCTTGCCACTCTTTCTTAGCTCCAAGCCCTTTGTTCATCCTTTCTCTTTACCACTTCCATAAATTAAAATCATCAAAACATATGAAGATTATATAGACGGTGATGTCCCACCCCACTAGTTCCCAAAAATATGTACCCAAACATATGTCTGTAGCTTCTTGCAATAAAGTGTCACTAACCCAACTAGTATAAGTACATGCTTCTTCAGGTAAAAACGGTACATTCCAATTTGTATTCCCAAAAATGGCTATGCTACAGTCCAAAAGATACTTAAACTATATTTAGTAAGTAAATGTCACACCATGATAGTTATTTAAAATATTTCCTTATGTAACTAAGATAATATGCAATCATATAAGTAACTATTTTATTTTTAATTTAATAAGGGCCGTGTAAACCATTCTGTGTCTCATTTTATAGAAAACACATAAAACTGGATGGACTTACTTACCTAAAATTCTGTGATTCCATGAATACCCCCTCAATCAATAAGAATAAAATAACATATACTTAAGATATGCTATTTTATAAAATTCAAACATGCAATTAGAAGAATTTTGAGATAATTTGCCTCATTACCATGTGCATTTGATTTTGGTAGAAGATGTTTTTCTCTTATCTTGTCTATAAACCTCTTCCTAGCTTCATTTCTTTTGTGTTTTTGTCCAACATAATGTTGTTGGGCCATTACTGGACTATTAAAGGAGGCAGGACAGAGTTCGCAATATGCACTTTGATTATTCAAGTGCAGAGCACTGCCAGAAGAGAAAGGCGCAGTTCTACTTAGAGCAGGCTTAACAGCAAGGAACTTCAGGAAAGCTGACTCTGTAGAAGCAGAAAGAGGCACACCAGCTGAAATAGTTACCATGATAAATGATTAACATGTGTTCAGATATTAGAGCTGCACCCATTTTAAAGTATTAGAGAAATTTGGAACTTTGTAAAAACTCACTCTCCGCATTTTTTCAGCACATAGGTGTTGGACAATGGTATTCAAATAAAGAAGAATTTCTTTCTGTGAGAATGGAAACTTCAATACTAGTCTGTTACCAAGTTTCTCCAATAAAGACATGGGAGGGAATGAATATTCTTACTACATTCATTTGAGTAATCAATAAAGGAATGAGAGCCATCCTAGGGTGATTCTTTGAAATTAGTGGGGGTAAAACAGAGGGTAGCAACATCTAAGTTGGTTTCTTTGAGTAAAACATTAAGGCATCTCTTCTGTCTAGATTTGTGACATTTGAATCACAATAAAGTCTACACAACTAAGACTATAAAACTATACAGATTTTCACAATTACAGTTATTTTCCTTTTTAAGGGCAAATCAATAAATTTGAGGGACTGAAGATAGGCTTTTACAAAATGCACTCTTGTAGGAAATAGTAATTCTGACCTTTAGATTTACAGGTAGAAAACCAAATATGAAACCATTAGGTTAAAATAAATTTTAAAATGAATTCTGGTTTCATTTATTAAGAAAACAGTAGTTTTCATAATAATTTCTGTGGCACTGATTTTTCTTGGTGATGCCTATATGTTTTAGAAAATTAATGCTACTGAATTTTCCACGCTGTGCATGCATTAGTACTATAAAAACAGAGCAACTATGAATGTGGAAAATTATTTATTATGGAATATAATCAATATTGTTTCTTTTGCATGTAAGTTTTTCAAAACATTATTTGGGTTTTTCAGGGTGTATTCTGCTATCTTAGGCAATTTTAGATCAGATTTCTCATTATGCACTGGTAGGCCAACATCACCGGAAGAAGGAAAAGTAATATTTTATAATTCTTAGTGTCTTTTGGGTTTAACATACCACAAATACATGGAACTACTGATTAACAATGCTAATGGTACTTTTTAATTATATTTACAGGTAGAAAGAAATGGACTATTGTGGTAGGCAATTCAGTTTTTCTTTTTATTTTGCCTAAAGTTACAATCAGGAAAGTCTGTACCTGTAACTATATTACCATAAAGGCACTGATCTGAACACACATTAAAGATAATGTTTTGCGAAGTCCTATAGTAAAAAAAAAAAAAGCCAAGGGGGAAGAAATCAAGAAAAACTTAGGATTTTATAGTTTTATCATAAAGTGACTAAATTCTAGCTCATTATCATTAATAGCCATATAGCAAACCACTTGGTTTTACGTGGATTTAGTAAACTGAGAGGAAAACATCAACATTTTAAAAAATTCTTTTAATCACTGTAATTTCAAAAGATAAGGACATAGTCAGTAACTGAGTAGAAGAATAATAATCAAATTATTTCAATTGCAGTGAAATTCCCCCAATAAAAAGGATGGCATTGTTGGAAAAAATAAAATAGATCCCAAAGATAAAGAGGTGCAAGGAAACTTACCCATTTCTGGCTGAAATGCTGATGAAGGCACCTGATTATGTTTCGCTGTTATTTGCTTCAATTTTTTAGAATGAACCTTCCCCATATAATGAGACTGAGCAACAACTGGGGAGCTAAAAATCATGTTGCAGAGGTCACAAAATCTGTCTCTATCCAGTGTTCCAGTCCTATGTACCTGAAGTAAGCACAATCTTGTTAGAAAGATTCAATAACTCAAAGTTTAAAATTACATCAGTATAAACCACTCACCTTAAAATTCCCAAAATGCATGTTCATTTTCTTACTATGTATTTTATTTTGTTCCTCATGCATTTGAAAATAAAGTCTAACATTTTGAGCATGTTTTTCACTCTGCAAAAAAGATATAACAACTTTGTTTATTCAGTAAAAATCATTCAAAATTAACATCTCTCTGAAAAGAATGAGAGTTTTATTATACTTTGAGCATACTAAGTTTATGAAAGAACTTCATATTCTTTTAAGTCTCTATATCTCATTTAAAATTAAAGTAATGCTGCAATACAGAAACCAATAATTATTAGGATCTTGTTTTTTTACAGAGACTTCCAGTTGCTACCACATATTAAATGTTTTATTTTTCCTTCATTACAAATCTTAGGCAATGTAAATATTATATTTTCCAACCTTTTTCACCAAGATATAGTTATGTGACTGGATGATCGCCAATAAGATATACTTTGAGGAAGTTTGCTTAAAAGACTAGGGGATAAGCTTTCTGTCTATCCTGCTTCTGAAATTGATTCAAAGGAGGCCTGGGGATTTAGCTCAGTGGTTCGGTGGCCTGCTTTGCAAGCGCAAGGACCCGAGTTCAATCCCCGGTACTAAAAAAAAAAAAAAAAAAAAAAAAAAAAAAAAAAAAAAAAAAAAAAAAAAAAAAAAAAAAAAAAATGATTCAAAGGAGAGAGTTTATTTAGGACCAAATGTAGTTCATTAGAGCAGAAATACAGAAAATGGCTAGGCATCTCATGTTGTCACAGAGCTGCCGTTACACCCTACCTCTCAAATTATTATTTTTTGAAAAGAAATGAACTGTCTTAGGTTCAAGCCACTTTAGGACAAATGTACAGCCAAATATGTAAGTACGGTGTAGGTAGAAGGGAAACTAATATTTCCTGAACATGCTAAGTTAACCACTCTCTTTATGAATTTAATTTTTGAGACAGGATAGTGCTATAAAGTTTGGGCTGACCTTGAATTCACTATGTAGCCCACATTGGCCTTGAACCTGTGGCAATCTGCCTGCCTCAGCCTCCCATGTGTTGAGATTACAGGTGTGTGCCATCATATCTGGCTGGAATTTTAAATTATGAAATATATTTATCATGAAAAAAGAACATGAAATAATATAGCTGAAGCCCCATACCCACCATTCAGATCTCCTTTTTTATTTTTTAATTATTTTTATGCGTACATTTAAAGTACACAATATAATGACATTCATTGTTGGAAATTTATACCTTTACATAATCGATCTTAGCTCGTACTTTTCCCCATCTCCCTGCCCTCCCTCCATCACCTCCCTCCCTCCCTCCCTCCCTATCTGCAAAGACTTTGATTCCATTATTTTTCATTTTCTCATGTTAACTCCATTCCCTTCTTTCTTTTCCTCTATCCCTCCCATTTCCCCTTCCCTTTTGTCTCTCTTCTTTCTATTTCACATTATCTGTTATACCTTTTAGTCCTTATTCACACTTTCAGTTTCTCACACTAAAGAAACTATTCAGTATTTACATGTGTGTCCTATTTATTTCACTTAAGAGTATCGCTGTAATGTGCATCCATTCAGTTATAAATATCTCTAATTTCTCATTTTTTACGTCTAAGTAGTACTCCATTTTATTTTTTTAAAACCACATTTTCTTTCCAGTCTCCCATTGATGGCCAATTAGGCTGCTTCCAAGTTGTACCTATTACAGATTGTGCTGCTATGAACATGGGTGCACATAAATCACTGTGGTATGTTTCTTTTAATTCTTTGGGTAAGATACCCAGCAGGGGAATAGCTATAGATATAGGTCTAGTTTTAATCTTTGGCAAGTTGAAAGCTAGTCTTCCTAGCAGCAATTATTAGAGACATTATCTTTCCTCCAGTGAGGGTGTTTGGCTTCTTTGTCAAACAGAAGGTGGCTAGACGTGTCTGGAGTTGTTTCTTCATCTTCTAATCTGTTCCACCTGTCCCCAAGTCTATTTCTTTGCCAGTACCATGTTGTTTATGTCACTGTAGCTTTGTAGTACGGTTTCAAGTCGGGGACTGTGATAACACCCTGCCTTGTCTTTATTGCCGAGAATTGCTTTTGCTATCCTAGGTCTCTTTTTGTTCCAAATGAATATTTGGATTGATTCTCAAGGTCTGTGAAGTATGCTGCTGGGGTTTTAATTGGGATGGCACTGAATCTATATAGCAATTTTGGAAGTATGGCTATTTTCACTATGTTGATTCTTCCTACCCAGCAGCAAGGGATGTCTTTCCATTTTCTGATATCCTCTTCAAACTTTTTTTCAGAGTGCTGTAGTTTTCAGAATAGAGGTCTTTGATTTCTTTTGTTAGGTTGGTTCCTAGGTATTTCAATATTTTGGATACTATTGTGAAAGGAATTGTTTGCCCCATTTCTCTCTCAGTGAGTCTGTTTTTCGTGTACAGGAAAGCTATTGATTTTTGTATGTTGACCTTGTATACAACTACTTTACTGAATTTGGTTATTAAGTCTAGAAGACTTTTGGTGGAATTCTTGGGGTCTTCTCAATAAGAGTATCATGTCATTTGCAAATGATGACAGTTTGACTTCTTCATTTGTTATCTTTATTCCTTTTATTTTTTTTCTCTTGTCTAATTTGTGTGGCTAATGTTTCCAAAACTATATTGAACAAGAGTGCTGAGAGTAGAGATCCGTGTCTTAGATCTCCTTTTCAGAAGAGGTAAAATTTTACAAATACAGTCCTTTACCACAGTCTTTTATTCCTCTCTTTATCTCCATAGATAAAGCTATCACCTACTTTCTTTGTTTTTATTTTTTTTAGTACCTGTTATGGTTTTGATTGTAAATGTCCTCCAAGAGCTAATGTGGTTGGTTCTCAGCTCATGGCACTATTGGCAGATGGTAGCTAGTCTTCAGAGATGAGGCCTAGGTTAGGAGGAAGTAGGTGAGGAGGAGCATGGTTTGGCAGGTTTTTTCCTGTTCTCCTCCTTTCTTCTCTCCCCCTCCCTCACTCCTCCTTTTTGTCGGACATCAGGTAAGCAGCTTTCTTGTGCCATGATGTTCTGCTTCACCAGAATCCCACAAATAATGGAGATAGTTGAACATGGACTGAACTTCGGAGACCATGAGCCAAAATAAACCTTTTGTTTAGTTGGTTATCTCAGATATTTGTCACAGTGACGGAAAGCTAATATACTATACATGCAGATACCCATAAAGTTTATGTAACACTGACTTTTATAAAATTACAAACATTCAATAATTCGAAAAAATTTTTAGAGTGAGTAAATTACTTCAGAGAATTTATTTTTATTTTTTTCATTGAGTTTATTGGTACTTTTTACGTATACAGTAGTTACATTTATCATTGGGATCTTGTATCTTTACATGACAGGTCTTGGTTCTCATTTTTCCCCATACCCCTGCCCTACCTCAAAACTTTTATGGCTTATATCTAAATGTCATCCCAAAGCCTCATGTGTTCATAAATGGGGCTTTTGGGAGGTGAATGAAACATGGGTGTGCAATACTTATCACTGGAATAGTCCACTGATAGATTTATAGTTGGTTGTGATGTTGGGAGGTGAAGACTGCTGGGAAGGTTTGGCTCACTGGTTCACTGTGTGCATGATATATGTATGCACTACCCTTGAGCGCTCACTGCTTTTTGCCTACCTTGTCATATGCTCTTTCTTTTCTTCCATTCTTATTTACCATACTGCCCAGCCTTGGAGGCAGCCAACTATGAACTGAAACCGTTATAAGACTGTGAGCTGAAATCAACCTCTCCTTCTTTAATTTTTGGTATTGATTATTTTGTCTCAGCAAGGACAAAGAAAGAAAAATGCATATTCTTTTTTAAATTGTTTCTGAAATCTTAATGCTATATTTCAAATATTTACCCATATTGATACATATAGCTGTATTTCATTCCTGTTGCATATCGTGTAATAATCTATTTCAAATGCTACCCCATCCCTCCCATACTTAAAGTCATTATGCTTCTGTTTGTTGTTAGAAGCACTGCTGCCATAAACATATGTAAACATATTACTTAATATGTATGTCCAAGTGTTTTTTTAGAGTAGATATCTATGCCTGAAATTTTGACTCATACTGCATGTGGATTTTCAACTGTATAAGTTATAGTGAAATTCTGTAAACATTTATATCACCAAATGCGCTAAGTATTTCTGTCTCTGTATATTCTTCTGAAATGTTAAGTTGTATTATATTTAATGTTTGCCAGTGTATTATGGATTTCATATAACAGATCATTATCACTTTATGTTGCATTTCCATATGATAACTAGTGAAATTGGGTATCTCTTCTATAGCCCATTGATATCACTTTTTCTTTTTCTTTTGGATCCTTGTTCTAACTGATTTATAGTCCTTTATACATTCTATACATTAATCCTTTGGGTTAGAAATACCACCCAATCTGTGATTCAACTTTTAACTTACTTTATGAGATTTGTGCCATATAAATTTTCCTTATAGCTAATATGACTTGTTATAAAGTGTGACTTATGGGTGAAATAGTTGTAAAGATAAAAAATACCAATACAATAAACAGAAAAATAGCATCAAAACAGATCAATCAATATATGTGGAAAATAATACATGATACAGCTGGCACTACAAGTTAGTGGAGCAAGGCTGGAATATACAAGAGGTGATCCAAATATATGGTGAATGCTTACATTTAAAAACATCATTACAACAAAAGATACATTGCTATTAATTCCCGTCAAATACTTCCCATGCTTATCTCTTTGTTCCTGTCACTTTATAAAGTAGCTCTGCAAGTCCTCATTCTTGAGTATCTTTACAAGATGTGGTAAAAAATGCAGTGCATGTTGCAGCTGAGTGCCACCCAATGGAAAGGCAAGCTTGTAAAACTATGTTGTGTTCTCATCTATCTCATTCACTGGAGCTAGCACCATGTGACATCTTCAAAGTAAAAATGACCATGAAAGGTAAATGTTTCGCGGTCATTCAGAACACTGAGGCAGCCACACAGCGCAACTAAAGACTCTCATGAAAGAGCACTTCCACAACTGCTTTAGATGGTGGAAAGAATGATGGGGTAAGTGTTTGCAAAGTGATAGTACCGTGAAGGAAATTAAGGGCAACGCATCCTTTACTGCAACAATTTTAAAAATTTAAACATTTTCCGTATTGTTTATCATGCCTCATATAATAAATAATTCTGGTTACAACTGGCATCCCTATGAAAATGTTACCATCTTCCACACACAAAAATTAATACCAGATGGATTAAATACTTTAATGTATGAAGTAAAACTTATCAAAGTTTTGAAGAAAACAGAAGTATCTATCTGACATATAAGTGTACAGGTACTTTCTGAAACACAAGGATAGATACAAAGGGAGATATTGATAAATACAACCTCAAAATTCAATAATCTTACTGAATTATCATATTTTACATGTACAATAAATACTACCTTGAGCTATATACCTTGAGCTGTATAACCAAGCTGTATACGAAAGAGAAAAATGATCATGCTTTTAAAGTAGAACATTTACACAGAAAAAATTTTCAGTTATACAGAAAGTCATGTATAGTTTTGATATGATGACTTAATAGGCTCAAAAACGTAACTACAAATATCACTGAAATTTCATTTTGCAATTTTTTTTTTTACAATGAATAGTACCAAAAAGCTATTTTTGAGATTAAAATTCAAATAGTTCTGGCTGTAGTTTTCACAGAACCACTAGTCATTCATTACTAATTCTAAATCTTTGATTTATGGGGTCTGAGAAAGTGTTTTTGTTTTTGTTTTTGGTACCGGGGATCAAACTTGGGTCCTTGTGCTTGGCAAGGCATGTGGCGGAATCACTGAGCTAAATCTCCTGCCCGAGAAAACGTTAATCACTCTTCAATGTCTTACTTCCCTTAATTCTCAAGTGTGTAGAAGAGACTTTTTGCTACCCCCATATTTTAGGCTCAAGAAATATGTCCATAAAGTTTATAGGACTTGCCCAGTTACACAACTAGTCAATGGTGGAATTATGACTTGAGCTTTATTTCTTCCCAATCCCTATCCAAAACAATTTCCCTATCAGTAAGTATAGTAATATAATCTTCATCAATATAAAGACTAAAATATAATTGCCAATAAGATTAGATATGGAAAAACTAGATGAGGTGTTTAAAAAAGTAGAAGTGGTAATACAGTTGTTTGAAGAACATGTATTAATTTTATTTATGTACTTTATTAATCTAAATATCCGGTATGAAAAATTTTAATGTTTCATCAGACAATGTAAAATGTGAGGCAATGATAAATACAAAGAAGGCACACAGCCTATAAAATCAGGAGAAATCATACTTAGGCTAATCATGCTTAAACAGCCACAAAAATTATTCTGGAGCAGTTTTCTAATCTATAAACTAACAGAGTATGAAAAGTATTCATTTTGTCATGTAGAACTAAAATTTTATGATTGAGGGCCAAAAAATACGTGGTCAATTTAAAGGCAAGACTACTTTATTTTGCTTCAATAGTTTCTGTAGTTTTCATTTATGGTAAAGAAAGACTCTGGTAGTTCCATAAGATCCTTTAATTCACATTTATAGCTTACTATGCAAGTGTGATACTGCCTCACTTATCTTTACTACAAGAACAAATGATGTATTGACTTAATAAATACAACAGGAAGCAGGATGGTGCAAAAAAATAAAGAAAGAAAAAGTTTTGGAGTCAAAATAATGAGTTTAATTCTGAATTCATCAAACTTAAAGTAGTATGTTACTGTCTCTCTCTGAGCTAGTATTCTCATCTATCCAAGGGAAATGATATCATGTATTTCAGAGGATATTTGTAATAAGATGACTTATATGAGGTTTATTTTTGTTACATTTAAAAACATGTTTTCAATATAGTGTCATTATTTTTCACTAACCTCATAATGTGAAATCTTTTGTGAGTTTAACTGCAGCACCACTCCACATACTTGACAAAAGTTATCTGTAAAAAGTTCGGTCATCTCCTCTTCATTCCAAGTGGCATCTATGAACAAAGTAAAGGGAAGTGAGATAGCATAACTAATTAATGAATATTTGGAAATATCATTTTAATTCCTCCACCATATATTACTTCTCTTCAAATTTGAGTGTTTTTTAGGCTATAGTCATAGCTTGTTTTTCAAATATGCAACTTTATATGCAAATATTAAATATGCCTCGTATGTCTAATGATGGAAAGGGTTATATTCACTTAGGATGGTAAGTCTAGGTGATTACCCCTTTAAATAATCGACACAAGAACATCAGTAACTTCATGAGCTTCACAGAATGATTTGGGTAATCAATAATGAAAGGCTGAATCATAAACCCTACCCTTGATATTTTGCATTTTATGGCACAAAATCCTAAGAAATGTATAGTCTTAAGACTGTCACTTATCTTGAGATATAGTTCCAATATTATCCAAAAGTCACATGGAACCACAAATCATCTTCGCCATGATGGGTAAACATCCTGCACCATTGTACAAACACTAGGACAATCATTTGGCTAAACAACTCTCATATAAGCCCTATAAAGATATAATGTTCACATATAATAAAGCCTAGAAATTTATGTGATAGTATTTTATGCTACAATAAGTAACACATGCGAAATATTTTTTTATTTACCCTTAAATTCTTCACTATTATCTGGAGTACTTAAGAGTTTCAACATTGTGCTAAAAGTTGGTAGTTTATCTACAGGATATAAATCACAAAACATCAAAATTTTGTTATTTGGCTATTTATATGAATAAGCTGGTAACACATATACTTTGATGAAAAGTTGCCAATGAGATATTAAATAAGTAAAATGTTGTAGAACGAATATAATACAGTATACAAATTTCAAAATTAAACACACACATATTCAAAGAAAATTCTCATTGATATAAGCTAAATTTTAAAAAAATGATTAACTTTAGGAAATGGGAGAAGCAAAGGATTGAGGGAAGGAAACAACATTTTCTCTCTGTACAATTGTCTTAATTTTTGCAAAATAACACATATTATGCCTTTCTAATGAAAAATGATTAGGACAGATGTCTGCAAGATGCTAGAGTCTCCGGTGCTTGTCTTCCCGTAGAAACCTCAATTTGAAAAGCTATCTACCCATGAAAATACCTTCACAAGCACTCAGGAAACCAGGCAAATGATTACAGTACTTGGGTGTACCGCAGAAATAAGGTACATGGAAGAGTAAAAGAAGGTCAGTTTTGTGTTACCTGCATCACCCCTCCCCAAATCTCAGGTGACACAGAATAAAAAGCAATAACCAGCGAGTGAAGAATAAACATGGAAGAGAGATCCAGACTTTGTCTTGAACATCAGCACTAGGTCTACCCACCCCAGGAAAACCTAGCAGGAAGCAGGTCTTTACAGCTCCAGAGTATAGACTGGCACCTGCAGACCTCCTCTGGTATCAATCCAGATCCTGCAATCCCAGGCTTGAGGTCTGCCCAACAGACTCAGTTTCCAAGCTGTTTCAATGACAGGTCAGCCTTAGTGGCCTTGGAATCTGGACAGCCCTTAATACCATATTGGCCTACACGACAGTGCCATGCTTTAGGCCAGACCTAAAATCAGCCAGATTCTTGCAGCCCTAGGCATCAAGCTTACACACATGGACCCAACCCGTAAGCCTTATCCTGTGGATACAGGCTCTAGTTCTGTACCCGCTGACTGAGCTGTTAAGTCTGCCCTGGTGGCAGCCAAGATTCTACAGCCCCAGGGTAGTCCCTGTAGCCTCCATTCCAGTTTGGTCCTAGAAGCCCCATTCTCCAGAAGATAAGGGTCCAGGGATGTTCCATTAGACCCCAGTGCTAGACTAGCCCCCACATATCCAGGCTCTAGGACTACTCCTGTGTATCCAGCTACCACACTGACTCCTGAAACTCTAGGATTTATCCTTCTAAGTAAACACACTCAGCCTTTACCATAGTACCAGAAACTCCAAGCCCCAGATCAGGCTCAGTGGCTCTAGGCATAACTTTAGCACCTATGATCCTAGGCTCCACATGAGCTCTGCAGACCATACCATAGTGATATATACACACACACGTTTATAGTGGCACAGTTTGTAATAATAGTCAAGTTTTGGAAACAGCTAATAGCTAAATAATAGCTAAATTTTGGAAATAGCCCATCAGCTGATGATTGGATAAAGAAGATGTGTTTTTTTTTTTAACCAAATGGAGTACTACTCAGCCATAAAAAGAAAAACTAGAGTATTTATAGCTAAATGTATGTACCTTGGGGCTAATAAATAGGACATAAATGTGTAAATATTGAATTGTTTCTCTGATGTGAGAAACCTACAGTGTAAACAAGTACCAAAATGTATAGTAGTGTGAAATAGGAAGAAAATGTTCAAAGAGGAAGTGGAACAGGGGTGAGAGAAAGGGAAGAAGAAAAAGAAAAAGTGAGCAAAGGAAAAATGGAAACAAAGATTTTATAAATAAGGAGGGGTAGAGAAGTTGAAGGGAGGGCAGGGGAATGGGAAAAAATAAAAACCAATATATATTCATGTACAAGTACAAATTCCCAATGACGAATGTGTCCATAATATATACTTAGAATGTACCCATAAATTTAATGAATAAAAAATTACATGTTCAAACTAAGAATAATGGTAATTTGAAATATATCAGAAATGACTTAATATTTACAAAATTCTTTTTATAAATTCTGGTACCACCTCTGAATTAGTTTTGAGGTTAACTGTAAAATACAATTTATTTCATTTTGACCCTATCATTAACAAAGTAAAAAGGGGCCCTTCAGCCCAGCATGCCAGAGGAGACTGGCAGCAGCTCGGGGCCCTCTTTCAGACCCACCCATTCGGCCCAGCATTCTAGAGAGCACTAAATCAATTGTAGTGGGGGACCTCAATACTTCACTGACACAAATAGACAGATCATCTAGACAAAGAAGCAATAACAAAATAACAGAAGTGAACCAAGTCTTAGAACAAACAGAATAGATGTCTACAGAGTGTTCCACCCCACAAAATCAGAATATACATTATTTTCAGCTGCAGAGAAGTCATTCCAAAACAGACCCCATGCTTACTCATAGAACATGCTTAAATAAATGCAAAGGAATTGTAGTTATCCCCTATATATTATCAGACCAAAGTGCAAATACACTGGAGATAAAGAGCCTAAGAAACTGCAAGAACTTCAAAAAGACATGGAAATTAAATATCACCCTGCTGAACAACTATTGGGTCAAAGAGGAAATTAAAGAAGAAACAGTTTCTACAATTAAATGATAATGCCAGTGCAACATACTGGAATCTATGGAACACAATGAAAACATTTCTTTGAGGGAATTTCATAGCAGTAAATAGCCATACAGGGAGAATAAAGCGAGCTCGAATAAACAACCTAATGCTTAACCATAAGCTTCTTCTAGAAAAAGATGAGGAAGACAAACAGAAAGCTTGTAGAAGGGAGGAAATTATAAAGATCAAAGCAGAATTTAATGCAATGAGACAAAGAGAACTACCGCAAATATCAAGAATATCAATTCCATTTGAAGTGAAGAGTTGGTTTATTGAAAGATTAAATAAAATTGACAAACCCCTAGCCAACCTTATCAAAAAAAGAAAAGAAAAGACTCAAATTCATACAATTAGGAATGAAAAAGGTGAAGTCACAATAGATCTACCAGAAATCCAGGTGATCATCAATATCTATTTCAAAAACCTGTATTCCAAGAAAAGGGAAAAATACAGAAGAAGTGGACAGATTCCTAGATACATATTAATTTCCAAAGCCTAATGAGGAAGATATAAAAAGTCTAAACACGCCAATTACATTCAGCTAAATTGAAAATATAATTAAAACATTATAAACAAAGAAAAGCCCAGGCCCTGATGGCTTCACTGATGAATTCTACAAGACATTTAGAGAACTACTGCCACTACTGTTGAAACTTTTCAATGAAATTGAAAGGGAAGCACTTCTTCCAAATTAATTCCTGGAAGCAAGTATTACTTTGATTCCCAAGCCAGAGAAATATCCAACCAAAAAAGGGAACTACAGGCCAATCTCCCTAGTGAACATAGATGCAAAAATCCTCAATAAGATACTGGAAAACAGATCCTACACCCTGACCAAGTCAGTTATATCCCAGGGATGCAAGGATGGTTCAACTTATGTGAATCAATAAATGTAATGCACTATATTAACATAATTAAGGAAAAAAACATAAGATCACCTCAGTAGACACAGAAAAAGCATTGTACAAAATTCAACACAATTCATGATAAAAACTCTGCAGAAAATTGGAATAGATGGTCTTTATCTCAACCTGATAAAGGCTATCTATGAAAAGCCAACAGCCAATATCCTTCTAAATAGTCAAAAACTAAAAACCTCCATGCGAAATAGGAACAAGACAAGGATGTCCAATGTCACCACTCCTGTTCAATATAGCTCTGGAAACATTAGCCACAGCACTTAGACAAGAGAAAGAAATAAAAGGAATAAAGATAGGAAAGGAAGAATTTAAACTGTCATTATTTGCTGATGATATGACACTCTCCATAGAAGATCCAAAAAGCTCTGCCAAAAAGCCTGCTAGATTTAACTGATGGATTCAGTGAGTAGTGGGATACAAAATCAACACTCAAAAATCAATAGCCTTCTTATACACAAATAACAGACTCACTGAGAGAAATTAGGGAAACAATTCCATTCAAAATATCATTAAAAAATGAAGTATCCAGGAATCAATCTAACAGGAGGACAAAAGACCTCTACACTGAAAATTACAGCACTCTGAAAAGAGAGAAGAGGATATCAGAAGATGGAAAGACATCACTTACTCCCAGGTAGGAAGAATCAACATAGTGAAAATGGACATACTTCCAAAACTTCTACACAGATTCAGTGCAATCCTGATTGAAATCCCAATAATATATTTCACAGAACTTGAGGAAACAATCCAAAAATTCATTTTGAGCCAGAAGAGACCTAGAATACCAAATACCATT